GAGGAAATTTAGGGACGTGGCAGAGGCAAGGTGTGGCACCAAGGTCACGCTAGATAACGTCGGGGCACTTATGGGTGAAGACCAAGAGAAGAGCATAGCGGTTGCGGAAATGCTTAGGGTTATTATGAAAACCAAATTTCAGGAAGAGTTGGCGCAACGATTAATACATAGGATGCATACATAAGACAACCCTCTGTCTTGAAGTAATGCCCCGGGCGGTTCCGAGACTGAGACTGAGGTTTGACAAAGATGGGTTTTTAGTGGGTAGGCCCTCTGGATAGAGTAGAGAGGGAGATCCCCACACTCCGGCCCTAAAGGCGTTTCCCATCTATAAAAAAAAAAAAAAGACCTACTCTCAGAGGATCGTCTAGCCCGCCTGGTTGACCCAGGCCGGGTAGACAAAACGGTAGCTTGTGGCGCTTATTGGGTTTAGAGGTAGACTCCCGACCCTTGCTTGAGAAGGTGGTAGCTTGTGTGCCACTTGTGGAGTGATCTCAAGCAAGTGTCAGCCGCCCTTGTTGTTTACCTTTGGATTGGTCTCTTGGAACTTTCATTTGTAATGTTCCCAGTGTCGTTAGCGGGCTTCCCCACAGCTTCACCCGGTGGTGTTTTTATTGCTAAATCTCATAGTGTTCCCACGAGTCGCTAGGGATAGACGGTCCACTTCTACAGAGCCCCGCATGTAGAAGTAAGGGGTAAATACAATGGGGTGCCCCCTGATGCCCCAAGGTTGTGGTCGGTAATGGCTAGATCTTTATCTAACCACGCATCCCTTTGACCTGGTCCCGCCATCGTAGGATATAGGTTTTTGGTGAGGTTGTCTCCTCTTGATCCAGGCGGTTAAGCAAAGGCCCCCCATACCCTCTACCCGCGAGACATGACCACAGTCAGTAGAGGGTGCCTGGTATAACGGACAGGGCTAGCCCCGTCCGGCATCGTTATATGTCTTGGTGCAATTTCCTGGCCACGACACATCTTTAGATGTAATAACTACGTGAATTTGTCATCGATAACGCCTCCTCTTGTTTGTAAATAATTAAAAGTTTATTAAGTGTCCCACACGTTACCCGATTCTCCCCTATATTATCACTGCCATGATATTTTCTAAAGATATAGTTAAAATCTCACACAGCAGAACAGCACATAACATTATGTAGAACAATATATCACTGTGTATATTCCTGATTGGTGACTGGTTGTCACTTATTGCAAATAATCAAAACAAACAGTAATATTTACATAAAAATAAAATTCCCCCCAGTCTAGCGCTAAAACCACTCGACAACACTGCGCTGATATGTTCGCATACATACCTATAAAAGTGCGGCAGTGGATTCATTTGAAAACAAATTATTCAATCTGTTGTATAGTCACGATCGCCTGTGAACAGTGATTTATAAATTCCGGTAGACGAAACGGTAGCTTGTGGCGCTTAATGGGTTTAGAGGTAGACTCCTGACCCTTGCTGGAGAAGGTGGTAGCTTGCGTGCCACTTGTGGAGTGATCTCAAGCAAGTGTCAGCCGCCCTTGTAGTTTACCTTTGGATTGGTCCCTTGGAACTTTCATTTGTAATGTTCCCAGTGTCGCTAGCGGGCTTCCCCACAGCTGCACCGGTGGTGTTTTTAATGCTAAATCTCATAGTGTTCCCACGACTCGCTAGGGATAGACGGTCCACTTCTACAGAGCCCCGCATGTAGAAGTAAGGGGTAAATACAATGGGGTGCCCCCTGATGCCCCAAGGTTGAGGTCAGTAATGGCTAGTCCTCTATCTAGCCACGCATCCCTTTGACCAGGTCCCGCCATCGTAGGATTTAGGTTTTTGGTGAGGTTGTCTCCTCTTGGTCCAGGCGGTTAAGCCAAGGCCCCCCCACACCCTCTACCCGCGAGACATGACCACAGTCAGTAGAGGGTGCCTGGTATGACGGACAGGGTTAGCCCCGTCCGGCATCGTTATATGTCTTGGTACAATTTCCTGGCCACGACACATCTTTAGATATAATAACTATGTGAATTTGTCATCGATAACGCCTCCTCTTGTTTGTAAATAATTAAAAGCTTCTTAAGTGTCCCACGCGTTATCCGATTCTCCCCTATATTATCATTGCCATGATATTTTCTAAAGATATAGTTAAAATCTCAAACAGCAGAACAGCACATAACATTATGTAGAACAATATATCACTGTGTATATTCCTGATTGGTGACTGGTTGTCACTTATTTCAAATAATCAAAACAAACAGTAATATTTACAAAAAAATAAAATTCCCCCCAGTCTAGCGCTAAAACCACTCGACAACACTGCGCTGATATGTTCGCATACATATAAAAGTGCGGCAGTGGATTCAATTGAAAACAAATTATTCAATCTGTTGTATAGTCACGACCGCCTGTGAACAGTGATTTATAAATTCCGGTAGACGAAACGGTAGCTTGTGGCGCTTAATGGGTTTAGAGGTAGACTCCTGACCCTTGCTGGAGAAGGTGGTAGCTTGTGTGCCACTTGTGGAGTGATCTCAAGCAAGTGTCAGCCGCCCTTGTAGTTTACCTTTGGATTGGTCTCTTGGAACTTTTATTTGTAATGTTCCCAGTGTCGCTAGGGGGCTTCCCCACAGCTGCACCGGTGGTGTTTTTAATGCTAAATCTCATAGTGTTCCCACGAGTCGCTAGGGATAGACGGTCCACTTCTATAGAGCCCCGCATGTAGAAGTAAGGGGTAAATACAATGGGGTGCCCCCTGATGCCCCAAGGTTGAGGTCAGTAATGGCTAGTCCTCTATCTAGGCACGCATCCCTTTGACCTGGTCCCGCCATCGTAGAATTTAGGTTTTTGGTGAGGTTGTCTCCTCTTGGTCCAGGCGGTTAAGCCAAGGCCCCCTCACACCCTCTACCCGCGTGACATGACCACAGTCAGTAGAGGGTGCCTGGCAGTAGCGGCTCGTGACCATTAGAACTGATGAGGCGACGCAAACGCGGACGAAAACAAAAAGACGAGGGGGGTCTAAGCTGCAACAAGTTTATTTTTGTTTGTTCCTCAGATATACGTTTGAAGGTTGAACCTACTAAAAATGTCATAACAACTTTTTTTTTGTTTTTATGTGTTTATTTTCTTTTTGTTTTTTTAAGTAGCTAAGCAATAATAAGCTAGAGATTTTTTTGCTCCTCAGGTATAATAAGTTTGTAAGCATAACTTATTAAAAAAGTCATCATCGGAACTGTTTCTTTATTTTTTTTTTCTTCAGAGTATAAATAATATAACTTAAAACATATATTAGGTATTAGCTAATTAATCTAATGATCGTAATATAACAGCTCTAATTTAAGGTTTTCGTTCGGTTAGTAAGACGGAATTTGTCACATCAAGCTCTACGACGCGCGACGCGACGATATAAAACGACGATATAAAAAAAAACAAACAAGTAAAAAATAGTTAAAGAATGTAATTGTGTAAAAATTATTCCTTGTAGGTTAAGTTTATTCGTCTGTCTTTAAGAATAGCAAATTTATCAATTATGTCATCATAAAACTTCCCTTCGTTCTCACTAAGGGTAACCAACAGCTCCTTTTCAATTGAAAATAAAGACAAAGCAGAAATTCTATCTTGTAACATTTTATTTCTTAAGTAAGATTTTATCCGTTTTAGACAAGAAAAATCCAGCTCGGCTTGAACACTTGTAATCGGGATTGTTAATTTGTCTTTTTATCATTTGTTATAACACTTATCTGGGGAGTAGGTCTGTTTCCCTGTAAGACCTCTCGCTTTTCATCCTCCTGTCTTCTAGAAAACGGGGTTTCTAGAAGGGACATCACAATGTCATGTACATCATTCATTTTAAAGTCTGATTATTACAAAATAAGTTACTAAACTCTGAATTACGGCTAGATCACACTACTAGCAAGTAGTGTTTATCTAGCCGTAATTGTGAGTAGCACTCACAAAAGCATAAAACAAACCGACCGAACAGACGTGACGTTTAGTAATTCCCCGAAATATCTAAAGTTAATTATTTTGACCAGTATTGCGTGGATGCCAATTTATTCTATACTCTCTTCAATATACGATATTATTTCCATAATTATTGATGGGGTATTTCGTGAAGATCAATTAATAGATTAATTTTAATTGCAAAGAGCATTTAATATCGCAATATCCAGCCATATCAAGCACGAACTATTTTTGAACTTAACAATCAAGTTTGTAAAGAATGGATTTTTTTCATGAATCTGGCAACAGCGTTGCACTTAAGCGATTTGGCTGTCGCCTCTGCAGCAGCTAATTTCACGCTTTCCCTCCGCTTCCCCGACCCACTGATTTCAATGTGTGACATTTTAGTTCATTGAAAAAAAAAGGTCGGCAGAGGCGGCAAAAATTACGCCTCAGGAACGCAGTACGAAAAGATGCATTGTAGTCCAGTTAAAACAGAAAAGATATGGCGCGGGCGATTGGTTTAGACCGGTCGAAAAGTAAAAAACTTGGTATATTTTAATAAAATTATTCAATATTAATATTGCTATAATATAAATATACGATTAGCTGGAAATAAATTTGTGTACTACTAAAGGCTAGAATTTCGAGGTGAGGCGGCGCCTCAGTTGCCTCACCTGACGGGCCGCCACTGGTGCCTGGTATGACGGACAGGGCTAGCCCCGTCCGGCATCGTTATATGTCTTGGTCAAGTCTTGGTGCAATTTCCTGGCCACGACACATCTTTAGATGTAATAACTACGTGAATTTGTCATCGATAACGCCTCCTCTTGTTTGTAAATAATTAAAAGCTTCTTAAGTGTCCCACACGTTACCCGATTCTCCCCTATATTATCATTGGCATGATATTTTCTAAAGACATAGTTAAAATCTCAAACAGCAGAACAGCACATAACATTAAACTTTTTCAGAACAATGTATCACTGTGTATATTCCTGACTGGTGACTGGTTGTCACTTATTTCAAATAATCAAAATAAACAGTAATGTTTACATAAAAATAAAATTCCCCCCAGTCTAGCGCTAAAACCACTCGACAACACTGCGCTGATATGTTCGCATACATATAAAAGTGCGGCAGTGGATTCATTTGAAAACAAATTATTCTGTTGTATAGTCACGATCGCCTGTGAACAGTGATTTATAAATTCCACTATGAAATTCACCATTGTGTTTATGTTTATCTTCGCCATAATTGGTAAGCAGGAAACCTTTGATTCCTATAACCTTTTTATCTGAATTATTTATAAAATATTTAGGTTTGATGATACGAACAACGACTTTGAAAATATACTATATTTAAACTTAAATAAAGCAATGGCATATATTAATTTAAATTGGAATTATTTAGTTATAGCAAAGTTTTCGTTTGAAAAATGATTACCTACCTACGTGGTAATTTTTAATATTTTTTGTGAGTTAATTATTCTACATATAATAATACATTTTTATACAATTCCAGATGTTATATTAATACGAAAACAATGTGCTAGTAATCCTTATTTGAAATTATAATAATATTAATTGGTTTTTAATTTTTTACTTAATAACTACGTTATTATTAATTATACCATAACGATTAAGATGTTTTCAGAATGAAACCGTACATTTTGTTCTAGTATTAACATGGTTTTGTCTGTTATAAATCAATTTAAATAAACAATAAAGATTTAAAGCTTTTAGAATGTACAAGAATTAGATTTTTGAACCATTAAACTCTCAGCTGTAAAAAATATAATTTTATTTTATAGAAATAAGTATGGCAACAATACTAAAATGTAATGCCTACAATATATTGGTAACATTTTGTTTTGTTTTTGAAAATTTTACAAAAATGAAATAATAATGAATTAAAAATTTATAATTAATGAAAAAGAAAGAAATTGAATCAAAAATAATTAATGACAATTAGAGAATTGAAATTAAAACTCAGAGATAATAAAGTTAAAAAAAAATACAAAATATTCTTTTTATTAGTCCAATTTAAATTATCTACAATTAGCATACACTTTCAAATCTCTCTTAGAATTATCGTTGGCAGAAAATTAATATATTAAAAAAAATATTCACTGAACAATTGAATTTAAATTAGAATTTAATAAAAAGAACAATTGCAAAATAATCACTTATGCAATGACATCTAAAATTAACTAAAGCCTTTAGAACAATCAGAAAGTCTTAAATCATTAATAAAGAAAAATATTAGAGAAAATCCAAAAACCACAATTAAAATACTATAAGCATGAATAGTTTAGAATTTCCTAACTTGAGAATTTATTTGAGAAAATCTTTAGATAGAAAACTTACTAAAACAATTAAAAAGACCACTGGATAATATAAGATCTACACGGAGTAAATTCGACCGTCTAATTTAAAAGTCAGTACCGAACTAATTTTGAAGATGAAAATACTGATGCTGGTACTATCTCGGAAAGGCGTTACTACATCTTCGGCACGCCCCTGTTTGAGGAACCTTCGAACACCCATCCAAATGCATATTTCGCACCTTTTTAATTGGCCGAAGGGCTCCTTCCCCGAAAGATCCCTAGACTTCTTTCACCCTTGTTTCTGGTTCAGCATGTCCTATTTATTAATTAAATGTAATTTTTAAACCCTTCCGTGTAAATCTTACTCTTTTACCCATTTGCTGAATAACATTCATAATCTACCTTAACTAATACAAATGATACCGAATCATAAAATTACCTTAAAAAAACCGCCTAGAAATGAAATCTTTATTTCTTCATTCATTTGTCTATTTCTATTTAACTCTAGGAACGGAAAAAAAGATAATCCTATTTCTATCATTTTCAGACATTCATCTCGTGAACATTTGGATTCTGATTTTAAAACATATATTTAATACTTTTAATTTTCAATTTAAAACCTCTAGCGAGGGGATGATTTAATTTTACTTATCTCGTTAAGCATGCCTACGTGCTTTTTCTGCGTTTTTTATTTTGAGATATCCCTAGGGTACACAACTGGTACCACTCTGTCAAATAGAGTTTTGATAATAAGGGATGAATGTCTGTTCTACTTTACCCTCGTTTATGTGACTTTAAATTATTTAGAAGATTGTATTATTTGCTTAGTTAGTTTCTCAGGATATATGCGTACTTTTAGAGAGTTTATGTGTCTTGAATATCATTAGAATATTTGCTTAGGCCTTTTAAAATTCGTTTGCCTATGTCAACTGATAACTTCGTAAACTGAAATGGTTCCATCTTAGAATAACAAACCAAAAGATAAAATTTTACCAAGCTTGATATTATTCTATTACACTCCTATTTGTAGGGGGTACCACCCTTGTACCACCTACATGTGTTTTAACCTTAGATTAACAATAAATTTTAACTGTCTTGAAGGGTAATAACTTTTCGTCCATATCTGTATAAAACTGCTGAGTGAAAAAAATACATCTCCGTGACTTTTTAAGTAAAAAATGTCTCTTGGTAAAAATCGCGGCGAGGAACCGTTCTCAAGATATTTCGAATGGAAATAGTCAATACATGTCATTATTGACAAAAAATAAACACGCGTTGAGTAGATAAAACTGAAATAATAAATTTGGGAAATTTTTATTTTTTAAATTAATCATAAATTTTTCTGTGAAAAAATGATGATCAAATAGGTTCTGGCGAACTTTTGACACAAAAAGATTTCAAATTTATGATTTCAGTCTCAGTCTAACAACTATTTAGTCAACATTTAATGTACCTATTCTCTGGTCAACATGTTTAATTTATGTCAATGATGACAGGTATTGATAATTTTGATTCCAAATATCTCGGAACCATGACTCGTAACTCGTGAAATTACAATTATGAAATAATAATGAATTAAAAAATAGAACCCTATATGAACCACGGGCATTAGTAGAGTAGATATACGATAATGTTCGGCTTTCCAGGCACTCAGTAAAAAAAACATAAAAAGCTTAAAGCATCTACCAAAAAAAAGGCACATCTTATTCAAATCGGAATTACGGTTCTTAAAATATCTGATAAAATGTGTTTATTTTTTTAAAGTTTGATGCCCTCTGACGGACAAACGGGGCACTTTTGTATACAGGTAAATTGTGTCCAATGAACTTATTTTGATCCTAAAAATACGTAGCAGTTCTATGTCCACGGAATATTGGGACACTCTGTATATAAATTATTGTTATTAGAAATAACTAATAACGAAAAAGTTAATAAGGGTGATGTTATTACTTACTTATTTACTTACTGCCATTAAGATGATTACGGAAGGCGTTTTCTTTCATGAGCTTTTTTGTGACTGAAAAGCCCGATACGTGATGTTATCTCTCTTCCGCACTCCGGACATTCAAAAATCTCATTACTTTGTTGTCTCTTTACTTTTTGGTTGTCGTTGTTGACTGAGTTTACAATTCTTCTCCATTGCGTTCCATTGTGCACTGCTTCTTCCCACTGATTCTGCAGTTTATCCCCTTTAAGTTTTCATGGAAAATATCCTTGTATCTTTTGAGTTGTCCACCCGGTTTCCTCTTACCCTCTACAAGCTCACCGTAAAGAAGAGATTTCGGTAGGCGGTTTTCTTGCATCCTGCATACGTGGCCAGCCCTTTTTAAGCGGGATTTAGTAATAATGACTGAAAGGCACCCAGGTTTCACTTCCATATAACATGGTGGGGATTATTATTGCTCGGTACACTGCAAGTTTCGTTTTTGTGCTCAAGTCATGATTGTAGAAAACCCTGTCTTTTAATTTCCAGAATGCTCTTGAGGCGCTGCTAATTCTGTGCTGAATTTCAGAGTCGATATTGGCTTTTTCCGAAGTCAAACTGCCGAGGTAATTGAATTCCGCTATGATGATATTATTATAGTAACTATAACACGCACATTTAATGATATGATCTAGAAAAGTTATACAGGGTATTTCAAAACAAATGCGAAAAACTTTAGGGGGTGATTCCTTGTTCAAAATAAAGGGTAGTTTGCTTTATAAACGTTGGGTCAAAAGTCAACCATTAGGGAGATATCGCGGTACAAATATGGCGGAAAAATAATGTTTTTATTTTTTATCTTGAAAACGAAAAGAGATAGACTAATGAAATTTTATGGAAGCATTACTGTTATGAAAACACACTTTCAGGTAATTTTTTTACTTTTTTAAAATGAGTGGAAGGGGTTGAAATAAACTACCCCTATCATTCGTGTTAACGAAATTTAAAGAAAAATCTTGTCAAATACATGCAAAAAAATTAATTTGGATAGCTTAGTTTTTTTAGAAACTTTTTTATCTCTTGTGTTCTTTTGATAAAACTCACCGATTTGAAATTAAAAAATAAAATATGAAGCATTACATGTCAGGACAAAGAACATTTTTAGATTAAGAATCTAGTGATAATAACGATAATAATAATCATGTAGATAATATCGTATTGCAGTAGAGTAATGTCAAATAAAATAATATTAGGAACATCCTAAAAAGTAACAGCGGCCGACTAGATTTTTTCCTAAAAAAAATTACAGCAGCCCACTAGATTCTTTATCAGAAAATGTTTTTTGTCCTGACATGTAATGCTTTACATTTTATTTTTTAATTTCAAATCGGTGAGTTTTATCAAAAAAATACAAGAGATAAAAAAGTTTCTAAACAAACTAAGCTATCCAAATTAATTTTTTTGCGTGTATTTGATAAGATTTTTCTTTAAATTTCGTTAACACGAATGATAGGGGTAGTTTATTTCAACCCCTTCCACTCATTTTAAAAAAGTGAAAAAATTACCAGAAAGTGTGTTTTCATAACAGTAATGCTTCCATAAAATGTTATTAGTCTATCTCTTTTCGTTTTCAAGATAAAAAATAAAAACATTATTTTTCCGCCATCTTTATACCGCAATATCTCCCTAATGGTTGACTTTTGACCCAACGTTTATGAAGCAAACTACCCTTTATTTTGAACAAGGAATCACCCCCTGAAGTTTTTCGCATTTGTTTTGAAACACCCTGTATATGTATCAAAGACATTAATTAGTAAGACGACATATGCGCGGTGGCGTTTTTTTACAAGAGACAAAAAAATGAAGTAAATACTAGGAGTATCATTTTACGAAAAAAGAATCTGTCGGCGGTTGATTTGGAAAGTATAGCAAGTTAATACCAAAATTTATGTAAGGGTGGGGGTAGTTTTCACCCTTTCCGTACTTTTTCTTGATTTTTGTGAAAGTCAAATGTTAAAGCACTTAGCAAAGCATAGACACTCAGCATCTCATTCGAATCGGAATTGGGGTTCTTAAAAAATCTGAAAAAATGTGTTTATTTTTTAAAGTTTGATGCCCTCTGACGGACTAAGAAACACTTTTGTATAAAGGTAAATTGTGTCCAGTGAACTTATTTTCCAAAAATTTCAAAAATACGTAGTAGTTCTATGTCCATGGAATATTGGGACACCCTGTATAACTTTTTGTCTCTATTTTTGAATTCAAAATGTTTTTGAAATATGTAATTAAATTTTACTGTCACAAATTTACCATCAAAAATAAAGACAGCTTAATGTACTCACCGTATCAAAGTAGTTCCTCGTGAGGCTCTATATATCAAAGTTACTGAATATAATATAAATAATATTGATTAATTAAATAATAAATATGTAATTAATCATTTCAAAATTGACCTGAAAATGTGTCTCATCATTATCGACTTCAAGTAATTTTAATGAAAAAATTTGTATCTACTTAAGAAACCAGACAAAAATATTTATTATCAATTTTTTATTTACTTAAAAATAATGAATCACATAAATATTAAGATAATTGATAATACATACTTATATCTATTTACGAATAAGAAAAACCTTTTGAAAATATTTGGCGCCAATGTTATGACGCAGTAAAAGTATATCTTTAATTACATATAGGTATTATATAAAGACCCATCTACACCTAACATTTTACCTGTCAGTTTCAACTGTTCACTCAAAACGTATTGAGCAAAATACCATAAGATCGAAAAGAAACGACGTCAGCGATGGCTATGAAATGAAGATCGCTTTTTTCGTTATTTCATATGTAAAACTATATGGGGACTATCATCGATTGTCATTTCCACACCAACTAGACGCCGTTTTTTTTCGATCATACGGTATTATGAGTAGATGAAAAACGGACTGTTTTACTTAAACTACAGCTTGATCTTATTTTAGACGCAAGGCTGCCTAGAAAACTGACTGAACCACTCGGTTTTACAAGAAAACTGTCATTTTGCCTACGTTTTAGATAAAAAAAAATAGGCTGTAGTTAAACTGCCGTTAAACGGTAGCTTACTAAAATGCCGTTAATAGGTATGACGTCGTTGATGTGACGCACTTCACGGCTTTATGAAATATAGGAATTTTATAAGGACTAACCAACGCTATCCACTCCACCAAATAACCAACTTAACCAACGCAACTAACCTAGACACTGACAAAAAATATAAAAAACAAATATAAATTAGGAAAAATCAACCAACCCCACCAAATAACCAACTAACCAATGAATTAACACCCTCCAAATAACCACGATAACCAACCCGCTAAATAACTAAACCAATCCAACCAAAAAGAGTGAAACCAATGCAATAAGATCACGCTATATGCAAAAAAAAAATATAAAAAAGCTTTGGTCGGCGTGAGATTTGAACCACGGACCATTCTCTTACGAAGCGATAGCCTCAGCCACTGACCCACAGGTGCTCTTGCAAAATGCTTAAGGCTAGGCATTACTTTCCGCCGACATGAACGACGTCACAATATCTATTAACGGCATTTTAGTAGGCTACCGTTTAACGGCTGTTTAAGTACATCGAAAAAAATATACGACTAATATTTTTATACTTTTAAAATATATTCTATTACAAAAGTATAAAGTATTTTTAGTTATGTCAGAATATTATACGTTGGTGATGCTAGTTATTTATTTAAGGTTAAAATTTACATTACAATAAAGAAAAAATATTATACTTGTGGTTTTATTACTATTATATTTTCAAATATGTAATTCTATTTATTAAATTATACCGCGGTTTTCAGTTAAATAATATACAGGAACGAAGCTATTAACGCTTAATATTTCATACTAGTACTTTAAAATAACATTTATTATGTGTACATAATGCTTATTAAGTGTCAAATGATGTCATTATTTAATTTTAAAGTATTAGCACGAAATGTTTTTACATGGTATTTTTTTCAATAAACATATCTTGAAAATTGAAATTTTTTATTATGGAAATAATATGATTTTTTACAAATATAATTTGAATTAATTGTCAGATAATGTAACTTTACATTTAACAAAATTTACAGGTTGATAAAAGATCTAAATAAAACGTTAGGAATACCATTACATTCTACCTTTACTTATAGACAGAGAGCTCTGGCTACATAAAAAACCTTATCATCGTTACATGGCTAATTTTTCTTGTGAAGTATCCCTTTCTGTAGCCATTAAGAAAATAGTCATGTCTGCCAACGCGATCGCGGGGCTTAAAACGGAGACGGCCAATCGAAAGGGTGAAATTTGGACCCTAAAAATATTATAAGGTACACGAGTTATAATTGCCAAAAAAAAAAAAATATATATATATACATATACATTCGGGTCAGAACGTCCTGCGACGTTGTTCGATGCCTAACTTCCACCTTGTGCGATTTTCCCATTGATCTTCGGTTAGATTTTTCTCGCTCATTGATCTTCTGATTCCTTCCATCCATGTTTTATTGGGACGTCCTCTCTTTCGTTTACCAGGTGGTATCCAATGACATACTTGTTTTGGAATTCTCTCGTTTTGCATTCTCTGAACGTGGCCGTACCATATTAATTGTTTTTGTTCTATATCACCCATTATTGTTCCTTCTATTCCAATCTGTAGTCTAATGTCTTCATTTCTGATTCTATCCTTTCATGAAATTCTCATTGCTCTTCTAATGGCGTCCATTTCTGCTGTCTCTAATTTCCTTTTATTCCTTTCAGTGAGTCGCCATCTTTCACATCAATAGAGAAATATGCTTTTAACTAGTGTCTCGTATATATTAAATTTCCTGTCCTTTGTAATTTCAGTGCTCCATAGAATCCCATTTATGCATCTGATAACTCTTGTGCCTGTCTTACTCTGTTGTTTATTTCTCTATCGTCCGTTCCATCTCCTGTAAATATAGAACCCAGGTACCTGTATTCTCCACATACATTAATTTCCATATTATTGTTTAAAATAAGATTTTCTGTATTTGCTCCTATTGGAAGGTATTTCGTTTTTTCGGTATTTACTGTGAGACCCCATTTAGAATATTCTTCAATTATTTTTCGCACCATATATTCCATGTCATCTTTGTCATTTGCAATTATGGCCTGGTCGTCTGCAAATTGCAAGGTGTATAAGCATATGTCATTTAATTCTATACCCATTCCGTGACATTTTTTTTCCATAAATGTAAGGCCTTAGCAATGTAGATTTTAAATAATGTTGGGGATATACAGTAACCCTGTCGGAGTCCTTTAGTGATAGCAATTTCCTCTGAGAGACCGTTTGCCGTTTTTATTTGTGATTTTCCTCCATGGTAAAGATTTTGTACAGCTTTTATATTTCCAAATTGCCAAATAGCTTTTATTTATTATTAAGAAACCTGGAAAGATGTTGGCAGACATTTTCTCGTGGCTAAAATGCCTGCAGACAACCCGAAGGGGGCATAAAATTTTGACAAAAAAATCTTGGCCTACATGCATGCCGTTTGGTGGAATGTCATAATTTATTAATTTAAAAAGCCGTATGCCAAAGGGGCAGACAAAAAAATCTTTACTCAATCAGCGGCGGACAGTTATCAAAATCTCGATATTACTCTACAGGATGAGTCTTGAATTCAACATATTTTTTGCGAAAAAAAAACTTCATAGACGTGTTCCTGGGGTCGAAATATATGACCCCTAAAAGTATTTGCACTTATTTAAGACTCACTCTGTATATTATTTTTATTTAACTTCTGGGTGCTGTAACTTCTTCCGATAGCATTTAAGGACATATGTTCATAGGAACTTTTTGTTTTATTTTCATCTTTAGAATCACCCCACGCCGCGTTGTCAATTGAAACATAATACATGTAAATCTACAAAAATTTTACGGTGCAGATATCGACTCAGAGGAAGACTCGTTTGCGAAATCGGGGATCTGCAGTACGATACAAATAGTGAGACAGAATAATAAATGTATGATATCTGTTATTGAAATAATAAAAAAATATAATTATAGTAAATGGATAATATGTTTCTCAATAATACATAAAATCTATTTTCGCAAATATAACTCTCGTGTACCTTATAATATTTTTTGTTTCAAAATGTCACCCTTTCGATTGGCCGCCCCCGTTTTAATCCATTTTATCCCGGAATCGCGGTGGCAGACATGACTATTTCATAATGGCTACACAAAAGGATATTTCACAAGAAAAATTAGCCATGTAAATGTTTTTATGTAGCCCGCTCTTAAGGCGCATTCTCACGACACGCGTACTTGACAAACATTTGTAATAGGTATACAGGGTATACACGGTGCGTCGACTATTATAACCTACTCTGGGTAAATAACTAACTTCTGAACAGAAATTGTAGCAGCTAAAGGTGCGTTTACACGAGTCATGTCAACTGATCAAGTCGAAAGTAAGAAGTTTTACTTCAGACATGCACACATAGTGCATGCACACACAATTTTTTTACAGAACATAAATTATACAGCTGAGTTGGAGAGATTTCATATGAGCACATATACCTTAAGATCGAAAATAAAAATGGCCTCAGAGATGACTTGGAAATGAGAATTACTGTCATTTTATATTTAAAATTATAGGGAAATGTCATCTATCGTCATTTCAAAGCCAACTGGACGCCGTTTTTCGATCATACGGTAGTGTTAGCGTATAGTTATCATTATCACTATCAAGAACTTCAAGCGACTAATAACTAAAATGTTATCTACCTGTATGAAGTTTCAACTTTCAGTTAATCGCACAGTATTCAAATCACTTTTTATTTTAGGTCATAGTTAATTTTTGGGTTCATATATAATTTTGATTAAAACAATCTTTATTTTTCTTATAGCTGCAGTATTTGCCCTCCCAGAACAACGCCTAGTTGGAGCTGAAAAATGTACCTGGGGTCCATCATACTGGTGCCAGAGCAAAGAAATTGCCGAATCTTGTAAAGTAAGTACATAATCATAATATATTGCGGTTGAAAAAAAAATACAAATTGAAGATTTGGGGAGTTAACATTATCTCCTAGACAAAAAATACACCAAGAAGATCTAACATATAAGAAATAAATGTCGGTGGATTGAAGAGGAAACCAAGATGTAAATGTAAAAGAGGGAACCAAGATGTAAAAAAGTGCTGTAAAAAAAACTTTCTTTCCATTCACTTTTAGTAAATAGACCACATCTTGTGGTCTATAAACTAATAGATGCTTATAGATAGCTAGATACCCAAAGCTAAGCATTTTCGGACTTTAATTGGATAAAATGCTTTTTGTATAAAGTCTGTCTAACGAGAGAAATGATGATTTCGATAGACAAAACCATCTAAAACTTCAAAAAAATGTCCGAAAATACTATAGGACCTAATTTTCTCGTTGGACAGAGTATATTAAAAATCAAATAGTATTTAAGTACATATACAGGGTGTCCCAGAAATAAGTGCAAGTATTTTAAGAGGTGGTAGATATCGATAAAAGAAACATATTTTCTCTTTATCGTTTTTCAAATAAGTCCAAAATAAAGGAGTTATTTTATTTTGAAAATTTCCAAAAAAAAATATATTTTGCTAAAATTTTGAAAACCCCTGGATTTTTTTCTTGTAAATTTAATTTACTACCTATGTTACCATATTATCAAGAAATTATGTTTTTTAACTAAAAACTAAAAAAAATCCAAAAAACTTTTCAAAAAATTCTGAATTTTCGCGAAAAAAACCTCATAGGCGTGTTTATGAAGTTGAACTATACTACCAGACCTACCAGTTAAAATATTTGTATTTATTTCTGGGACACCCTGTATAAAATGTAATATTTTTTATTATTCTACTACAATTTTTTTTATTACAGGCAACGCAACACTGTGAAGAAAAAGTCTGGAGCAAAGGCAATTAGATTACCGATTATACTATTTTTTTATTAATATGTTAAACTTATAAATAAAAAAAAACTTTATAAATAAATAAAAAATATTATTACAGGAAACAAGGTATTTTATTTGTAGTAATGTGACAGCGATGTGGTAATTTCCAAGCCAACTCTGACGCTTTTAATTTTTCGATTGTAATTTGTATGTAATAAAAAGTTCACCATTTTTTTATTAAGCTATTGAAAAATGGAGAGAAAATAAATTCAGAATTCAATTTTATTTTCTATATTGCAATTTTGAAAAGAACTTTCAAAAAATACCATATCTTGGACACATAGATTGTAAAACTTGGAAAATAAGTTCGTCATAATAATGCTTTTATTTATTCACTATTCTAATAAACAATATGCATTCCTTCGGAAACTCTCTATTTAATTATTTGGTAATGCTAAAACACTCTATTTGAAAGTCGATTAGAGAAAACAGTATGATTCATTGGCAAGCGATGTAAATATTTGTGATCAGGTAAAATTGTGATGTAAGAGGAGGCTTAGCTCGGCAGGCGGCAGGTCAGGCAGTTGTTGATAGGCCGGCCGGCTGTGTGGTGTTGTGTTTTGTCACAGAGCTGACATTTGGAAGTAGCGAGTCTTTTGACTATGGAAGTAGAAAACCTCTTGTGACGTCGTTCCTTCGAGGATGGTCTTGAGCGTTTGAGGTCTCTCTTGCTTCTCGATTAACACCGCTGGGGCGTTGTGTGAGGACCCCAATTAGCCCCATCGATTGGGATGCGAATCTGTTTAGCGGCAGATTTGCGTCCGGGGGAAGCCCCTATACTATTTCAGGTGACACTAGCTAGTTGTTGAAGATTATTAACCAATAGATCCGAATAATATTTGAATTAGATGGAAGATATGGAATGGGATATATTGAATAGAATGTCAGTGATATCAGTGGCTAGGGGGCGGAGTACCCCCGGGTGAGTCTTACTATTTAACTATCAATTTTATCCAGATCAGTAAATGTTTGTTTTGTTATCTTCATGTACAATGAGAGAGTGCTTGCCAATGACCAACTAAATGGATATTGGAGGTGAATTTGCATTGTGAGACCCGGTTGAGTAAGCCCCAAAAATAACGATTTTACAAGATATAATTTAAAAGAACTATGAATTGCAGAAAAAAAAACAAATTTAATTAATATCATAATTCTTAATGCAGAATTCTTTTACTGACTGACAATGAATTGTAAAAACTATATTTTTTATATTTAGATAACAGTTACCAGTATGTGAAAGAAAAATTATTAATATTGAATTTATTCTTGTTAGTTATAATTTGTTATACAGGGTGTCCCAGAGATAAGCGCAAATATTTTAAGGGGTGGTAGATCTGGTCAAAAGAAACATTTTTTCTCTTTACCGTTTTTCAAATAAGTCCAAAATAACCGAGTTATTTTACTTTGAAAATTTTCAAAAAAAATGATTTTTTGTTAAAATTTTGAGAACCACTGGACCTTTTCTGGATTTTCTTTCATGTAAATTTAAGCTACTACCTATATTGCCATGTTATCAAGAAATTATGTTTTTTAACTCAAAACTAAAAAAAAATCCAAAATTTTTTTCAAAAAATTCCAAATTTTCAAAATTTTTTTTTCGAAAAAAATACCTTATGATGAGATACCAGTTAAAATACTTGCACTTATTTCTGGGACACCCTGTATAATTCCAGTAAGGATTTTTTCCAAAAAGTTACATTTTTTTCAAAATCCTAGTATATTTTTGAAAATTCTACACAAAGACTTAAAATCAAATTCAGAACAACATTTCTATTTGATATTTTGTTATTAGAAAACTTTGTTTTCAACATAATTAATTATATCTACCATACGATCGAAAAAAAAACGGCGTCAGAGATGACTTGGAAATTAAGAACATTTTCTGTGTTTATATGGGAAATGTCACTGGATACCCCCCGTTTTTTTCGATTGTTTGGTATTTTCCTCATACACTTTTTGGCTACTCTGTATCTAGAACGTAGATCCTTATGCACATTTAAAAATTGAATACAAACTATATGTTGAGTGGTTGAAAAATAAAATGTTTCAATTTTTTGGATAGACATTTAATTAAAAGTACCATACGATCGAAAAAAAACGGCGTCAAAAACGGCTGGGGAAAGACAATCAATAATTTTAGCAAGGTCAAGCCCTATAGGCACGTAAAATGTACTTGTACTTTACTATAATAATTTTTACTTACTAATAAGTAAAAATGATTATTTTAAATAGTGTAGTTTAAAATTAAAGAAATTTTCTTTCAAAATAGATGTTGTGTACCTGGAAAGGTTGTATCCTTTTTTAATCTGTCTTTAACTATAGTGTTAGTTTTTGACAACTTTTATGTCAATTTTTAGTAAAAAACGAGATTGACCTCCACAAAATTATCATCACATTATCATCGATTGTCATTCCCCAGAACAGTCTTTGACGCCGTTTTTTTTTCAGTCATACGGTATATTGTTCTTGATATAAAGTAAATTAGAAAAAGATTAAAACGAAAAAAGAAAGCGTGAAAGCGTAAGGCATGAAATTCTTTATAACTAACATTAACTGATGTTTTGTGGCTATGTATTTCTTTTGATAAAATTGTAACATGGAACATCGATTTTGTTCACAGAAATATTTTTCCAACTTGATAGAGAATATTTTCTTCCCCATGGAATATAAACGAAAATAGTGTCTTTAATACATATTGTTCATACTATAATACCAGATGTACCTATATGCAGTATACATATTAGAAGAATATTAGTATGCTTATACAGGGTGGCGCACTTCATTCGCGCCTCGGTTGATTATACGAAAACGAAAAGATGTAGAAACAAAATATTTTATGGGTTTATGCGGGGAGGCAATGTTCACAATTTAAAATTATTTTGAAATATACAGGGTGTTTTAAAATTAAGATCCATACCAAAGTTATATTTTTTCTTATGGAACACCTGGTATTTTATTTCATTTTTGGATTCTTGGGCCCCAAAAAAGGAATTTATTATAAGGGTTAAATATGTTTAAAATTCGGTTTTTGAGATATTTAAAGATATTTAAATTTGCATGCTACAATAGAATATAGATTATTAATACCCTGTACATTACTTTTCAGAATTAATTCTTGTGCTGAGATTAAAGGTAAAGAAATAAACTTGAAAATGGCCAGATAGGTATAATAATATAGTTAATAAAGTTTGAAAGTAATATAGTTTTAAAGAGCATTTGAATCTGCTTCGATTTATTATAAAAAATACAGGGTGTTGTATCTGAAATAACGAAGTTTTTATGTAAAATAAATCCTTAAATTAAATCAGCAATTTTTGATACCCCTGTATAAATTTAACGGATCAATAACTTCATCATATCTTTAAATATTTCAAAAACCAAAAATTTTAAACATATTGAAGCCTTATAATAAATGCCTTTTTCTGGGCCCACGAATCCAAAAATGAAATAAAATACCGGGTGTGTTCCATAAGAAAAAAATATAACTTTGGTATGGATCTTAGTCCTGAAACACCCTGTATATTTCAAAATAATTTTAAATTGTGCATATTGCCTCCCCACATATACCCATAAAATATTTTGTTTCTACATCTTAGAAGCACTGTTTGATCGTGTTGAAGTTATCGTGTAGAAGTACCGTTTGATCGAAATAAATGGGGTATATGAAATGAAGATCGCTGTCATTTTATAGGTAAAGTCATGGTACAGTTATATGGAAAATGTCATCGATCGTCATTTCCTAGCCAACTCGACGCCGTTTGTTTTTATCATACGGTATCACCACGGTATCACTATATTAAGGTGTTTTATTATAAACTGGTAAATCTGATTTGCATCGTTCTTTGCAAAAAACAATGATTTACAAAAATAGCCAGTTCAATGAACTTAATTCAACAACATAATTTAATGGTCCTGAAAATGTACCTATTTCAAAAAAACGACTATTTAGCCCATTCCTAATCGAAGTTAGTGTCTAATAGTGTATTTTGGGTTGCCAAACCTATATAAACATATGCAGAAGTTAAATATTTGATATAATTTCTGTTTGCTATATCTATACCTATACATATATTTGTTATCATCTGTGGTTATCATTTTCAAATAACTGTGAAGAACAATCTTTTTCATTTTTTTACTTGGTTCATGCCTATTTAAAAATTCAAAATTTATATGGCGCCATCTCTTAAGCGTATGTATAATCTCTGCCTCAATCATTACAAAAATGTACTTTTCTGAAATATTTTGTACTATTCTATTAAAGTTTTGTACTATATAATAATATGAATTTTAGATTAGCCTATTTAGCCTAGTAATAATAGCAGGTAATAGTGGTAATATACCGGGTGGTGCATCGTCGTTGGAAGCATAGGAAATCCCATACAAATTTTGAACTGTTCAACTATTATTAACCACCGTGTTATTTCTGAGATATCTTTTTTTAGATTTTTAAAACCCTGAAGATCAGACAGGAAGCACTTTAGACCCTATGCTCTTTTATATACCCTTGCCCTATATTTATATGAGCTTTTTTTTTCTTAAAAATGCATAAGCATCATACCCTGTATTTTTTTAGACTATATGTAGAAAACACCCTGTTTATACATAGTGCTCGAAGCTTTCATCGAACAAATTTTGTATCGAAGAGGTAATAAGTTCTTGTTTACTCTTGTGTTGTTTTGGGGGTTGGAAATTGTTAAAAATCTACAAAAACATAATTAGTAGGGCACAGAATTTTGTTAAATGTGTTTTTTATTGATTTCAAGGCAAAATTAGTGAAATAAAAGTAATCTTATAGAAGTTATACATTCTGGTTTTGGGGCTTGGAAATTGATAAAAAAAACTACAAATACATAATTTGTACAGCACAGAATCATGTTAAATAAGGTTTTTTATTGATTTCAAAGCAAAATTAGTGAAATAAAAGCAAAAAATCTTGGCCATTACCATTGGCCATTACATTGACTAAGAAAATGTCTTGTAGAAGTTATAAATAGGGATGTTACTGCCTTGTTTTATAATTTATAGATGTAATAAGTCTCTATTTACCTAATTATTACATTATTTCGGAAAATATCGAACCACAAAGTTGTATTAATTGAAGATTCTGAAGGCTACCGAACCTCCACCATATTTTTGAATTTTATTTTAATTTATATAGGTTTAATAGGTCTGAAACTGACTTGAATAACTATATTTAATGATAATCTATAATTTCTTAACTATTTTAAAGCTTCAAAATCTTTTTTAATGCAAAAATCTGTTTTTTATGATATTAACAATTAGGGACATTGGGATAATTAAAATGCGATGACTTTGTGAATTTTGCTTTATTCGTTTATTGGTTGGTGTCATTTTATTCGGAAAACACATAGCTACATTACCCTGGTACTAGTTTTGTCTCCAATATAGTGTTATATTGCCAAATTTTCATTTAAACTTGAATTTTAGATCATAAAATTACATAATTTTTCATCGGTAAACAGAAGAAAAGCGCCAGTTGGCGCTCCCTCTAGCGTCAGAAATCAGAGACCGAGCGTCAAAACTCAATTTTATTGGTCGTTTCGGTCGATTTTCGTCATTTCTAGACATTTTCTAGGCTGACCGTTGACGGCGTAGCATTTTTGTCGGTTGCTGCTCCAGAATTTTTAAGGAAAAGTGCCTTTTTCTTGTATATTGTGCTCGGGAATCATGTGTAGTGCATAGCTGAACTCCTGGAGAGGGTAAGATCGACCATTTTCCTACGAATTTCCCGATATTTTTCGAAAAATACCACCATCTAAAGATGGCCGGTTTTTGCGCAAGATCAACAAAAAAAGTTTCGTTTCTTTCTGTTTGCTTTTTTATACTTTCTGTTGCTAAAAATATAGTTCTTTTTGGTAATACCTTCTTTTTTATAGTTTTCTGTATTAAAATAAATCGTTTTCAGACTTAAATAGTTTGATGAATATAGTATTTTAGAAATAAAAACCTTATATAAGCGAATAAATTATAGTCAATCAATTTTCTCAAGTATATTCCTAATAGTAGTGCATTTGATATGGTTTTTTCTTAAAGATATTATATAATAGAAGAATACTTATGTAATAAATCTTTTATAAAATAATCTAAATAGAGTTTAGGAACCTGTAAAACACACACAAACAAAATTACATCTGCCTGTATTTATACTAAATAACATAGAAACTTAATATAAGGTAATAATTAGTACTTAATATTGTAGGTATAATTGATTGTTATTGATAGTTTTTCTGAAGCTAGCAAATTTTCTTTGCTATTTTTTTGCTTAGGTTTTTATGTTTCTAGATGTTCTTGTTTTGTACAGGGTCTGGCAATAATGCGTCGGGCATCTATAAGCTTCTAGAATAAAAAAAACTTGGGAATTTCAAAAAGAAGTCCATACCTAAAATATGTAGGAGGATGAATTTCAGGAAAATATTTTAATTTCTATAGAGTGGCTCAAAAAAATGTAAGTGGATCAGGATGCTTTTTTTAAATGGAACACCCTGTATATTATTGCATTTTTGGCTTCTTTCCAGATCACTTTATACATATATTATAATCCTAAGATATGAATAAATATATTTCGATAATTTCAGAGATAAATAAAAAATATATATTTTTCAAACTTTTTTAAAAAAAATTATTTCAAATACAAGAACTGTCCTGAAATCAAAACTATATTAGGTATTTACTTTGGATAGTCTATAGTACTTACTTTCCTATAAATATTGTCGTCTTAAATCATACTGGATATTCAAACTTTCTAAAATATAAAATAATTTTTGAATGTTTGGAACCCTGTATATTATTTTTTTATTAGACGGAGAATTAAAAAATGATTTTTTTTTGTATTTAAAGTATTTAATTTTTTTTAATTATTTCGCAGATACACGCAGTATTATTTCATATGGCTTTTCAACGGTAAAAGACGAGACAAAAATCACTGGGTGGCTTCGATACAAATTTACTAAATTTACTGTGGAAAATGCCATATTAAATATAAAACCGCGAATATCTGCAAAACCGTTTAGAAAGAGAAAAAAAAACTCTATAAGTAGGGAAAGCAAACATATTTTTTCCCATTAAAGAAAATTTTTTATTTTAACGCAATAATATCTGCTAACTCCTAGTGATCTGAAATAGCCACCGAAATGCTGCTATCTCCGTAATTTTCCTTACGATCACGCTAAAGCAAACACACAGATTCTTAGTCGTATGTTTTTTTAGTACAGTACGTCGATCCAGGGTCGCACTAGGACAAAGGGGCCTGGGTGGCAATGTTAGGAGGGGCTAGTATGTTTTTTTTGGCGTATTTTTTCGCCTTACGTTTTGGTCAATTTTTCCCTATTATATGCAGGATGAGTCTTAAATAAGTGCAAATATTTTTAGGGTAGTATATTTCGACCCAAGAAACACGATTATGAGTTTTTTTGCGCGATTTTTTTTTGAAAATTTGGAATTTAAAAAGAAACATTTGGGATTTTTTTTTTAATTTTTAGTTTAAAAACATACTTTGTTTGTAATATGGTAACATAGGTAGTAGATTAAATTTACAAGAAAAAAAATACAATGATTCTCAAAATTATAGCAAAAAATTGGAAATTTTAAAAGTGAAATAACTCGGTTGTTTTGGATTTATTTGAAAAAACGGTAAAGAGAAAATATTATGTTTCTTTTATCGAGATTTACCAGCCCTGCACATATTTGCACTTATTTAAGACTCACCCTGTATAGAAATCAGGGAAATACCCTAATGCAAGGTAAACCAATGCAATGCAAATCCCATAATGCAATGCAAAAGCAAATATTGTTAAGAGAATAATAATTATTCTTAATTCTCTTTAATTATTAATAAACTATAAGGGGCCCTCCCCCCTAATAGTTATCTATATAATATGGCCAGATCGACCCTGCGTCGATCCCTTCTGTAAATACGGGGTATCCGTAAAGGGTAACGGGAAAAACGAAATTCTCTATATACGAGCAATTCATCGGCGTGCTATAAATAGTTTAAATAACATTACTTACTTGTACAAGAATTTCCATAATACCTAATCAGTTTTATTTTTTTCAACGTATTTTCACGTAAATGATACATAATTTTTATAAAAATTAAAAAAATAAGGAGAAAAGTAATAAAAATTTAATAAAATCACGCACTGTCTTCAAAGCTCGGTCTACTACCGTTGTATAAAAATTAGGATAAGCATGGAAGGATTCTACCATATCTTCTAAGAATTATAAGTTTAATTTTTAAATTATTTTCATATTCATTAAGTCTAAAATTCTGCTACTTCAGTTCTTTAAAAATGCAAAAAATTTTAAAATTTTCAATAAAAATTTATTCGTTTTTGGACTTGAATGTTTTGCTTCTAGACCGACGATATTATAAATATATGGTTATGAATATCATATTTTTTAAATTTAATTGATTATTTATAAATCTGTTTGGGTAATATTCATTTCCACTTTTTCAAACAATAAAGGTTGCACAAAATTTCAAACAATAAAGGTTGCTATCTCCAGAAGTATATTTTTATTTCTTATTTCTGCAAGACGAATATCTGCTATCTCCCTATTGTGTCGGAAAAAAATGACGTAACACGAAATATTGAGTTTTATTGTTCCCCAGCCAATAAAATTCTTATCTCTTTATCATATTAACGCATCAAAATACTTCCCATATGTATAGATATTTTTTTGTACCGTTTTTTTGCTCTCCTGTAAAATTAGGAATAATGGAGTTAGCAGTTTATCACGTTTCACCGACGATATAGGGTTTTCCATTTAAAAAAAAATCATCCCGATCCATTCACACTTTTTTGGGCAACCGTATAGATGTTAAAATATTTTCCTGGAATACATCCTAGTACATACTTTAGGTCTGAATTTAAACAAATTTCCCAAGTTTTTTATTCTAGGAGCTACAAATGCCCGACGCACTATTGCCTGTATACGGACCCTGTATAGTATAGAATTAGATGATCTATTTGAAACTCTGTATATAGAAAATTATTAACATATGAACTATGTAACTAAAAGATATTTTGTCTTATTTCAGATTATGCCAGAAATTATCCACGGATATCCAAGGACCACGCTGCCAGTGCAGAAGGAGATGACGAATATCAACACAGCAACAGATCTTCAAGTAGCAAAGAAACCAGGCTGCCTTTGGATGGAATGAACCAAGGATCGGTATGGGTCTGGACACGTCATATAGCTCAGGTCGTACCTGAGCTCGGGCGCTGTATCCAGACGTGCTGCACTCCGGGAGTGAATGTGCGCCTTTACACATTTTGCCCGGTACAGTCGCGGGTAGAGCCCAGCTGGACTCGAGAGATGGTAAGTACGACCATTTTCCTCATTGGCGTAACTACAGGGGTGCCGCCCCCCCCCCTGCTACTGCTGGGCACCCCCCTGAGAAATCCTGAATTATGACTCTTGGCTACGTATTAATTTTTATTTGCTTGTGATGCAGTAAAAATTACGTTTTCTAGTTTTATTTAGTTAACATTATTTTGTTGTGTTTAAAAAATATGTTAATTTATATTTTTTAGAAAATTTGTAGGTATTTAAGTAATCTACGGGAACAGGGTTTGATAACCAAGATGAAATTTATTGATAGAGAAATTCATGTAAACGTTTTATTCAAAAAATGTGTTTTTTAAAATAATTTTTCATTTTTAACTGGGCTCAACACCAGGCCCCGCCCCCCAGGCCCACTCCAGGATAAATTTCTAGTTACGCTAATGATTTTCCTATGAATTTCCTGATATTTTTCGACAAATTGGAACCTCTTAAAGCGGTTGGCATGAAAGCAATTCTATTGGCTGAATGTAACGTCATTTCTTTTCCGATTGGTCGAAATATTATCGGGCAGTGTATAAAATTTTTGCTTTTTTTTTAATTTCTGCTTGCTATAAAAAGATTTAATTTGTTGTGGATTCACAGTTTTCTAAATTTGATGTTTTTATGGTTGTACAGGATATCTATGTATTAAAATAAATAATTTTTAGACTTAGATACTTAGATACCTTGATGTATATAGTATTTTAGAAATAAAAGCATTATATAAGTGAATATATAATAATCACTCAATTTTCTGAAGAATATTTCTAATAGTAGTGCATTTGATATGGTTTTTCTTAAATATCTACATATATAAAATGCTAATGTTTATCTGTGTGTCGTCTCTACTGAAGTAACGACTTGCTCTAGAAAGTTGCTTTTTTACTAAAAGATAGTTAATTGGTTCTTCTAAAAACTGTAGTCGCCGGATTTTTTGTTTTTCATTTAATTAAAAAAAAAATTAAAAATATTTTTTTTTCTTATGTCGTGGCGGATGCGCCAGGCTTCAACTAGTATTATATATAATAGGGGAATAACTTATGTATTACATCTTTTATAAAATAATCTAAATAAAGTTTACAAAGCTGTAAAACACAGAATTGCATCTGCCTGTAGCTGCTTTAATTAGTGAAATATTTAATGAAGAATAACTAGTGAAATTTATATTGATAATCAGCTGATTTTTTTCTTGAAACTAATCTGAACCTTAAAAATTAAAATACTGCGTGGTTTCTTGTTTTTTAAGATTGCGAAATTGTGAAATATTTCTCTATAGTCTATGTTATTAATTGTGCATTGATTATTTTTTTCTAAATATATTTGCATTCATTTTATAAAAGCACTTGTTAGATTAGATGTTTTTTTACAAAAGATGCATTTAACCAAATAACATTTAGAAAATTAATAAAAGTAGTTTATTGTTATTGATAGTTTTTTTGAAGCTATAGTAAATTTTGCTTTTCACCCACTACTAATCTGTATATATTTTTATTTTCTTTTTTTAATATTTGCGAAGAAATTTTTAAGAGACATTATCATCTGTTTTTTTTTTAATAATGATACTTTTATTGTAATATTTTATTTATACTCTGTTGCACTCTGTCTCTATGATTTTTATCTGTTTTATCTATCTATATTTATTTTTTAAATACTTTTTTTACTAATAAATAGCTATTGAAATTTCTTGGTAACAATTTTTTTTAATAACTATAGATATATAAGGTGAACCAAAATTACAATATTATTCACCCACTCTTTCAAAAACAACTAAGATTTTTAAATATTTAATGATATTTTACTATTTCTTCGTCCATTACTAATTTCTAATTTCTGCAGAAATATATATATTTTTTTGTTTTCTTTTTTGGACATTTGGTATAGAAATTTTTAAGAAAAACTATTAGCTGTTACTTTCCAGGTTACTTTATCGTAATTTTATTTTTATTATACTATTTTTCAATGATATCTACATAATATATTTTTTAAATAATTTTTTTATTAAATAGCATAGTTATTTAAATTTCTTGGTAACAATTTTTATTAGCATTAATAGGATCATAGGTATATAGGGTGAACCAAAATCACAATAGATATTATTCACTCCCTTTTTCAAAAACAGATCACACAAAGATTTTGAAATATTTTACGCGTGTTTTATTAATTTTTCGTATTCTCTACTAATCTCTACAGAAATATGTGTATATTTATTTTTTTTATAATATTTGTATCGAGATTTGTATACCTAATATACATTTTTAAGACAAAATATTAGCTGATTTCAATGATATATAATTTCATTGGATTTTTTTAAAATAGTGCTACTTTATTGTAATTAATTAAGTATTATTAATAATTTTTTATACTTTGTTCTTTTTGGCTTACTTATATCTATATTTATTTTTGAAATTATTTTTAATTAAATAATTTTTTTTAATTTCTTGGTTAAAAAACTCATAGGTGTATAGGGTCTCAACCAAAATTACAATATTATTTACCCACTTTTTCAAAAACAGCTCACACTATGAAAAGTTAATTTTTTTATAGTCAAATCACATTTTCATTACTTAGATAGATAATATAATATATATACACTATACACTCTTTAACGCTCTGTATAACTGAGGTGTTTTATTGAAGCGCGAATATTTATTTTACATTTTTATTTTTACATATATTTTTTTATTTTAACTTTCAAAAACTCCCATCGTTGATTATTATTCAAGATTATATATTATTAAAAGCCAGAGGGTTGTTTGGGGTCTTTTTGTATTTTTTTTTCTTTTTTCAGATCGCAATCGAATGGGGACACACAATTGTAATTACCAAACTACACTTACTTTACCCATGCAGACGGCTCATGGAATGCTATCACGTGAAAATCCATCAACGCTCCCAGCTAGTAAGCGTGCGGTTTAATGTCTCTACTATCAGGCTCTAAAGACATGACCGCTGAGTTCGTGTTAGATTAATCCGTCGTTTTACTTAGTCTGGGTTCAATATCATAAGTGTCACTCTTTTTCTCTATCGCTCTATAAGAAATGTTTATAGACTTTTATCCATGAAAACAGAGATTTTTATCTCTACATTTGAAAGTATAATTATTAAATTAAATAAATGTCACTTTAACAGAATGCCAGTACTTTTTAGTGCTAGTATTTCAATATATTAAACACGAGTACTTTTTAGTGCTCGTATTTTTCTAAAATCGATAGACACAAAAAAGCAGCGTTGCGGGGTGGTTGCGATGCAATCTGTAGGCTGTGGGGACTGTCGCGAGGGGCCAGTCTCGGAGGCCTGGGACTGTTTCGCCCTGGATTCGTTCTCATATTATTACAGCCCCGGTAACAGGCCGGGGTTCCCAGGTGCTCGTTGCGTTGTAGTTTGCCAGTGGGTATGTTATTCGACCGCTCCATTACCGGGCGTAAGCTTATATCATGCTATGCAGGCTATCCCATGGGGCCGGGTTGTTGTCCTAAACGTAAAGGGTGTTTGGGGAGTGGGGCTCAGCTCAATTAGAGGACTAGGAGGCGTGTAAAGGGGTGCAGTGGGTTGGGATCATCTGGCACTCTTGGACCGGAAAGGGCAGGTAAACGCTGGTCCTTGAGTGTGGGGAATGTGGCTGAAGACGTTACGTTAAATTGTCCGATCGGAACGTCATAAAGCTATGTGGTTATTCTCAGCCTCCGATGTCGTACTAGCGCCTTGCTAGTTAACCACCATAATATAAAGCTTTTACTAGTAAAAGTCTTTATATTTTTACTTCTCCTCTCGAAACTGAAAAACGCAGGCATATAAACTTGTTTTCCGGGTTGCCTCGTTACTCGAAAAATAAAAACCGTTGTCGAATGGTTTTTCTCGACGACACAGTCAAATTCTTAATCTGATTCTTTTTGAGCTGGGTCGCCCTGTAGCCCGGTGATTTTTGGTCTGGCCAGGGTTCCAAGGAACAAATGTCCTCAGGAATGGAGGACCAAGCTGGTATCGGAGGGTCGAGGCTTGGCCAAGATTCCGTAAAGGTTCGAATTGACTGGAACAACACCCGCCGTGCCTTTGGGTCTCTCCGGTGTTTTGGTCTGTCCATTTCAACGGTTTAAGAAGGTTCTATTTCTTGGAGTTATGACCGATTAAAACCTATTTTTTCTAACACTTTAACGGCATATGGGCCAGAAAATCGGATCTTCAATAAACCACTCATTTTGCTAAGTATTATTGTAACAAAAATTCGTGTTATTTATTTTTATCAAGTCTCGGTAGTGCTGAATGGGGAGTGCTAAGGTAATGGAGGTACACATCTTTTCTTATTTTACTGTTTAGTGCTAATCTGGTCTCTAACGTTGAATCGAGAGTGTTAAGGCAATGGAGATTCCAAGTCTCTCATTGTTCTAGTGTTTTCTTTTTAGCGATGTTTAGGATTAGATTGGCATAAAAAATTCTGAAGAATATAATTTTTACTTTCTGTAATATTAAACTAAATTTAATCACTCTATTCTAGTCTCTGTAATGTTGAATCGAGAGTGCTAAGGCAGTGGATATTCCAAGTCTTTCACTGTTCTAGTGTTTTCTTTTTAGCGTTCTTTGGGATTAGATTCTCTCTCATAAAAATTGAGTTCACAGCCTTTCTTATTTTAGCGTTTCCTGTTTACTGTTATTTGAGACAATATTCTTTCTAAAAATTTAAAATATGCTATCCTAATCTCTGTAATGTTGGATCGAGGGTGCTACGACAATAGAGGTTCACAGCCTTTCTTGTTTTAGGTCTTTTTTTTAGCGTTATTTGGGGTTAGGATATTTCTTAAAATTCGAACTAATATAATTTAAAACAATAATCACCCTAGTCTAGTCTCAGTGATGTCGGATTGAGGGCGCTACGACAATAGAGGTTTACAGCCTTTCTTGTTTTTGGTCTTCTTTCTGGCGTTAATGGAATTATAATTAAAAAACATAATTTTTGTTTAAAATAATCTTTTTTACATGGCCTCTTGTGAATGGATGATACTATTACGATTCGAAGAGTAACAGCCTTCTTGTTTTAGTATTCCCGTTCACGTATAAATTAAGTAAATTCACTCTGATTTAAACTGTTTTATTCTCTATATTTTTATATAATTTCAAATCAAACTTATAATAATTTTTATTAAATTTACTGGTCTTTGAGATGAATGAATTGATAATGCTAAAATAGTGCCTGTTCCAGTCTGGCGTTATTTTAGGGTTTTCTTTTCACTGTTGTAAGAGATTGGAATAAGGGACCATGTCTATTTTTAAATTTTGCTCTGCCCCATCAAATTTTTCTCTGCTCTATCACTGTATCTAAAGTATTTTGCATAACTCTCTATCTTATCTAAACTAATTTTCCTAATAATCTCATGTCAAAACGATAGAGCTCATTTCAAAATATAAAATTTACCCTGCGATGGACAGCCAGCACTGAGGGGGAGGGACATACTTCTTGACGTCTAATCGGAATGGTGGGATGGGCCGTAGTCCAGCATATTCAGCCTAGTGTCAGTGATAGTGAGGTAAGCCTGAACACACACCTGTCCAGTTCTTTTCCATAAATCTAATTCAGAAATATTTCTACCTTTTCAGAACTATGATCGTGTACGCAGCGCGTGTTATTTGTGAATTTAATCGGTCTGTGTTAGATGTCCTGCTACTATAAAGTATTTCCAGGTTCTGTGTCGATCCTGATGACGCGTTAAATGGGATTCTCCAGGGACCGTCCGTAGTCCCTGAGGGACCAGGAGCATCCTTCTGCTCCCGCGGTGTGACGACACTGCTTTTTACGCCGTGTGGCAGGAATCGCCAGTGAAAGAACATGGAATGGAGGTGAGTTGAATTTATTTGGACTTTCTGAACTTGGGTATCTTTACTGATCTTCTTTTTATCGTTGTTTCAGCATGCAGATGAAGAGGAAATGTAGAAGAACCATTTCTGAAGCATAATTACAACGGTCGCGTCGGTTCGTGGTTCTGGGGCTGTTCTAAGGCTTTTCACAGCATTTTAAGGTCACACTTTTTATTTGCGTTCATACTTTCTTTGATTCGAATCATATATAATCCTTTGTATTTCTTGTCGTTTGTAAAAATCACAAGAAATAATATCTTTAATTTTTTTCGAGGTGTCTATTTCTCAAAATAATTTAAACCCAATTTGATTTTTACTGTTATGTTTAATTTATTATTAAAAAACATTTAGTAATAACACAAGTTTAATGAAATGTGTGCCAGGAAATGGGATCTTCAATTAACCATTTTTTTTTCAAGTATTTTTATAATAAAAATTATTATTTTTATATTTTTATCTAGTCTCGGTAGTGTTGAATGCTAAGGTAATTGAGGTTCACAGCCTTTCTTATTTTGGTGTTTTCTGTTTAGTGTTATTTAGGATTATATTCTTTCTAAAAATCCTAAGGGATATAATTTTTATTTTCTGTAATTTTAAACTAAATGTAATCACTCTATTCTAGTCTCTGTAATGTTGAATCGAGAGTGCTAAGGCAATGGAGATTCCAAGTCTGCCATTGTTTTAGTGTTCTCTTTTTAGCGTTATTTGGGATTAGTTTTTTTTTCTAAAAATTCTAGAGGACATAATTTTTATTTTCTGTAATTTTAAACTAAATTTCAAACAATAACCACTCTATTCCAGTCTCTGTAATAGTTTTCTGTAAGGCATTATCATAGGATTAGATCTTATTTTTTCTATCATCATTTTACTATCTATACTAATATATCAAATCCTTAAGTGACTTACATACTGATTAATCACGATCCTGCTCAAATCACTCAACGTAAGAAGCTCAATTTTGGCATACAGGTTGATTCTAGGGTGTAGAGGTTCGATAAGAAGGGATTTTTCGAAATTCCAGTTCCAAGAGGGTGAAACCACCCCTCAAATATTACAATATTTTTTATTTAAAAAACGGTCAAGTTTCCGAAAAAACGCTTAAACACGTATATTTTATTTTGTTTTTCTACATATTTTAAGATTTTTTAAAAATGTATACAGAGTCTTTCGAAAAATCTGGTCATTGATTAATCACGATCCTGCTTAAAGCGCTTGACGTAAAAGGCTGATTTTTGAAAAACAGATTGACTTTAGGGTGTAGAGGTTCGATAAGAAGGGATTTTTCGAAACTCGAATTCTAAGGGGTGAAATATTAGAATATTTTTTATTTAAAAACCGGTGAGTTTTTCGGAAAAACTCTTAAACACGTATATTTTATTTTGTTGTTTTACATATTTTAAGATTTTTTATAAATTTATACAGGGTGTTTCATAAAATATGACCACTGAGTAATCACGATTCTGCTTAAACTGCTTGACGTTTAAAGCTGATTTTTGGCAAACGGATTGACTGTGGGGTGTAGAGGTTCGATAAGGAGGGGTTTCTCGAATCTCAAATTCCAAGAGGGTGAAAACGCCCCTCAAATATTACAATCGAATTTGTGTAATTAAAAAAATATTTGTTATTTAAAAAACGGTTAGTCTTTCGGGAAAACGCTTGGACAAGCATCATTTATTTGTTTTTTTACATATTTTGAAATTTTTTAAAAAATCATACAGGGTGTTCCAAAAAGTTAGGTAATTTCTTAACCATTAGCTTATTTTTGGCAAACGGATTTTTCGAAAGCCAAATTCCAACGAGATGAAACTACCCCTCAAATATTACCAAGTTATATAATAATATCGCCATATTGTTTTTTTCTCATTCTGACATAAATGTGAGAAAATTCTATCCAGTTTGTAGGTTAATGGAAATTCTTGCTTTGCTTTATCATTACCATTACAAATGATTAATTCGACGCGAACGAAGTCGCTGGTACACGCTAGTTAATTATATAATTTAAAAAAATGTATGAGGTATCATGTTTCTTAATAAACTTTTACGTTTATACTAAAACCATTCAAAATATTTTTAATTTTTTTCATGTTTAATATAATAAAACTTAAATTTGATAACTTTAAAATAATGCATTTTGTACATCATTA